CTCTTTTTTAAAAACCCTGCTCTTCATAATACTTTGCAAGTCTTTTAAATCTCACTTCCTCCTCCAGACACTGTGCAAAAGGGAAAAGAAAAATTAAACCCAAAACCTGAGAGGAAGAGATATGCAGGGAAATAAGGAAAAGGGGACGTGTGGGTAAAGGAGAGAAGGGGGAAAGGACAAAGGAGAGATGGTTCATACCACTTTATCAATATATCACTTTTATAATTTTAAAAAAGGACAAGGGGGGTTCTGATTGCCCCAATAAACAGCAGAGAAAATGAATCAGTACAAAATTAAAGAGCAGTGTAGCCTGCTATAAGAGTTCAAACAGAAAGAAATGTAGCACTGCAGTTCAAAACAATGTAAACACTTCTGCTGAAATATATACCATATGATCGTTGGGGGAAAAATGTATCGGCACAACAGAGAGATCAAAAGAATCGGTATAACTGGAATTATTTTCTCATGTGTGATTGACCCCTAAAAATAACAGATTTATTTTAATGTGAGAAACAGATTGTCATTCATGAAAGATTGCAGTGAAATACACTCCGACATTTGGTAATCCCTAAAAACATAATTTTGTAGTAATCTTGTACTGTTTTTTTCCACAAAGCGTATATTTTATAGTATCAACCACTATCAATCTTAAATCAGCAGTTCTAACACCCCTGTGGACAAACATCCTATTAGTAATTAAGAGGTAGCAACAAGAGGAGAAAAGATATGATATATAATGCAATTACAAACAAACAAACAAAAACAAGGACAAATTAGAATATTTTATCAGCCTGGCTAAGGTTGCTACCAGTACACAGCTGTTTTGGTCTTAGCCATGCCGGTCTGAATACAAAACTGATGCCTTGGCCTTTGTCGTAATTAGCCATTCTACTGTAAGATGCAGTAAAAGCAAATTCAGGATTCAACATTTTTGAACAGAAAATATAATAGTATAAGTACCCTGTTTCCCTGAAAATAAGACCAAACCTGAACATAAGCCCTAGCATGATTTTTCAGGGTGCTCATTTCAGGCTACCCCCAAAATAAGGCCCAGTTAAGTGAAACCCCACCCTCCACTATTGTGCAGCATTGTGCAGCAACCAGAAGAAGATATGACTGTGAAATAAAAGATCCCCTGAAAATATGCCCTAATGCATTTTTGGAGCAAAAATTAATATAAGACCCTGTCTTATTTTCGTGAAAACATGGTAGGTCATAACAAGAACGCTGTCAACATCAACAGAGTCACAAATAACTAAACTTACCATATGTACACTCATGTATGTGTCAGCCGTGTTCCACTTTAAAAGCTTCCTGTAAAGGAAAAGTTTAAGAACAAATTGCAAGACCCTGCTGGAGCCCCATGATGCAGTGGTTAAACTGCAGTGCTGCAGTCAAGCCTCTGCCTATGACTTGAGTTTGATCCTGAGGAATTCAGGTTAACTCAGCCTTCAGGATTCCACAGGTTCAAGGTTAACTCAGCCTTCCATCCTTCTGAGGTCAGTAAAATTACTACCCAGATCACCGAGGGGAGGGGGCAAAGTGTAGCCTGCATAATTAAATTGCAAATCACCTAGAGAGTGCCTTAAGCACTATGGAATACGCTTTGCTTTGTATCTCATCCCCATGTGCAGCTGGGAAGGTTGCTTATGAATGTTAAAAACCAGATTAATGGAAAAAGACTGAGCACTTTTTTTCTCCTCCTGCCCCAGCTGCTTCCCTAACTCACATGCCATCCAGCTGGAGTGGAGAGGGGAAAATGCTATTAAGACTGGAGGGCAGGCTGTGTCTTCCAGATCTGCGTCTAGTTTGGTGCCAACTCTCAGGTGAACACCCAGATGAGCCAGCAGGTTGCTCTTAAAGTTCATCACATGGGCTCGTCAGCTAAACGGGACGCCCTACTTCTTTGCAAGCATTCTCGTGGATGATTATCAATGGCAGACAGTGGTGCCCACCTTCTTGCCTAGGAGCCATCCAGTAATTAAAACATTAGGACAGCATTCCTGGAAGGAAATGAAAGACAACATCACCCTTCTAATAAGAAAAAAAAAAGGAAAATGGCAATGCCTTTTGATTAAAAGCAGGGCAAAAAGAAGTCCTGGGGAAAGCTGAGCCCTCTCTCTTTTGAGCCACACACTCATCAGAGACAGAAAAGCCCCTGGGTGCCTTTTCCTAAAGGCAGGAATGGGAAGGGCTGGCCCTTTCAACTGGCCAGGGCCCCTTGGCCGTGCTGGTGGACGAGGGTGGCACTAAGCCTTTAAACATCCCAATAGCCTCCCCCCCCCAAAAGGAAAGCTTTTGGCACACATATGGCGGTCCATATGAAAACAACAACACCCAAAGGAATAGTCAAGCAAAAACAGCCTTAAAAAAATAGGATGTTGATTATCTGAGGGGAAAGGGCAAGAATACAAGGAAGGAGGAGATAATGGATTGTCCTGGAAGGGGGCATAATGGGTTGGAACCGAAAAAAATGAGCTCTCCCAGCAGCAACATGTCTGTCGCTGCCTCCTTGCATCTCCTTCTTGTATCGACAGCCTTGCTTATCCTGTGGACCAAATGTCCTCTGCTCTCTGACGATTGAGATCACTTATTTTCCGTTGGTGTGTCATGTATGTACTTGTACGTGTGCAAAGCTGGCCAGAAGAAAAGAGATGAAAGGAAATAGGCGGGGAAGGATTAATTCCCTCCCCACCTGCCTTAAAAGCACAGATCATCTTTTTGTTCGGTTAGTGTCCCGATAAATTCTCTTTTCATTTCCCTTGCAGGTGACAGAGAGGTATGCTGAGCCTGAAGAGTTGCTGCTCAATTACCTGAGAAAGGGGCGTATCCTTCTCTGCTCTTTCGCACTTTCATTGCATAACAGCCATCTTCTTGATTCCACAAGCCATCTTGGAACATTGTGAAAATTAAACTCCCCCCCCTTCTTTCTGGTACTACGAAGTACAAAACGAGTTGATATAAGTGGAGTTTGATATTCTCATATGCATTTTGGCAGACCAGGCCAGATATCGAGGCATTGGAATGGTGAATGTAGAGGAGGAAATTCCACAAAGCGTTGCTTTTCTCATTCTTCTGTATTCAGGAGTTCGATAGAAAGGGGAGCAGAGATACAGGCCTCTGTCCACCCTAGCGAGCCCATAGAGAGAGCTGTATCTGGAGAGGGATGCAGTCCTTACCTGGGAGGGCTGTCCATGCTACCAGAAAACCTAAAAAACCTAAAAGGGCTTGCCCTTCTCCTGGAGACACTCCACATATACAGACTGATCTGAGAGTCTTCAAGAATTTGGAAGGTTGAGACATTTTCCTTGATATACTAGCTAAATCTGGCTTCCTGTAGCTTGGGCCCATTATTACTAGTCAAGAACAGCCCTGTTAACAACCCCAGTCAAGTGTTGCAAACCCAAGGCCATGGCTTCCTTTATGGAGTATTCCTCGCTTCCTGCTGCCTTCAACTTTTCCCACAATTATTGTCTTTCCAGGCAAGTCTGATCACAGTTTAATCACTTATGCTTCTAGAGAGAACTGAGGCTTGGTTTGATTGAGCATCAATTTGTTTGTCTTTCCAACATTCCAAGGTATCCACAAAGCACCATATTTCAAATGAACTGATTTTTTTCCTGTTGACTTTTTTTCACTATCCAACTTTCACATCTGTACAGATAATTGAGTATACAATAGCATAGATACCATTGACCTTGGTCTCCAGTGAGACATCCTTAAACCTAATGTTGATGCTTCATAGCTGCCCTTCCAAGTCTCCATTATATATATATAATGTTGTGTGTGCCTTTAGTCATTGTATCTGACTTGTGGCTGGATAGATATCAAGTGTTAAATAAGAGGCAGCATTTGTTTCCCTTAACACTGTATGTGGTCAGTCCGTCTCACAGGAACGAAATACGGCTGTGGAATTGGAGGCTGTGGGGCCTGCACCGTGATGGTGTCCACATACAACCCAGATACCAAGAAGATTCGGTATCCTTCAGAAACAAGGAAGACGCGGCTGAAACCGACAACACAGCTTTGTGTGCTTGTTCTTAAAGTGGGTCTACCTGGCATGGCTCATGCCCTCCTGCCAGCAAAGAACTATAGTTTGTAGTTGTGTGTGCTAATATTTTGAAGTTCTTTTCTTTAAGTTTTGACATGCTTTGAAATTTTCACAGCATAAATCCCTCTTTCCTTCATGGGGATGTTGGCGTGTGGACCCTGAAGGGAACAGAGCCTCAACTTGGACAGGGTGACTAGGGCTTTGTCTCAAGGCCACAAAATCAAAATCTCTCTCTCTCTCTCTCTCTGCATGTTTGTGTGTGTTTGTTTAAATCAGTAAATAAGACTTGGAACAAACAGCCCAGAAAACAGAGGATCTAGAAGAGGCAGCCATGTTAGTCTGTGCTAGCATAGCAGATCAAAAACAAAAAAAAATTAAAAGGAAAAAAGACAACTAGGGCTTTGTCTCAAGGCCACAAAATCAAAATCTCTCTCTCTCTCTCTCTCTGCATGTTTGTGTGTGTTTGTTTAAATCAGTAAATAAGACTTGGAACAAACAGCCCAGAAAACAGAGGATCTAGAAGAGGCAGCCATGTTAGTCTGTGCTAGCATAGCAGATCAAAAACAAAAAAAAATTAAAAGGAAAAAAGACAAAAAAGTTGCAGCACCTTAAAGACTAACTGCGGAACAAACAGCCCAGAAAACAGAGGATCTAGAAGAGGCAGCCATGTTAGTCTGTGCTAGCATATCAGGTAAAAAAAAAAAATGAAAAAGACAAAAGACAAAAACGTTGCGGCACCTTAAAGACTAACTGCTATATGTTAATGTGAGCTTTTTTGGACAAGTCTGAAGAACTGGACTTGTCCATGAAAGATCTCATTAAAATACAGCAGTTAGTCTTTAAGGTGCCACAACGTTTTTGTCTTCTTTACTTATTTGTTTTGTTTTCGGCCTTCAGAAAGACTACTGTCTTCTCATACCCCTTTGAATGGAGGTTTGTTGCAGAAGACATGCATTTGCTCTCAATCTCTCTGGTTAAGCAATCGGAATTCTCCTTCACATTCCAAAGACATTTTCCGGCCAACTCTTGCCTGCTGCCATTATGTTCCTTGCACGGTGCTGCAGTAACTACAGTAGAAGGTGTGGGAACGACGCAAACCAAGCTTCATCCCATTCAGGTAAGAGCATGAGGCTAAATCTTCTGAATTCCAGTGCTTAGGATACATGGCTTAGTTACCTACTATGCTTCCCTCCAAGCCAAGGGTGCATTTTATGGCCCCCTAGCTCTTTTTGTCCCTGCCTTATAAGACAACTTGGAAATAACTTTCAACGTCCTCCCATCCACACCGGTCCAGTTCATCTCTCTCTGCACCTCTCCTTTAGAGCATGAGGCTAAATCTTCTGAATTCCAGTGCTTAGGATACATGGCTTAGTTACCTACTATGCTTCCCTCCAAGCCAAGGGTGCATTTTATGGCCCCCTAGCTCTTTTTGTCCCTGCCTTATAAGACAACTTGGAAATAACTTTCAACATCCTCCCATCCACACCAGTCCAGTTCATCTCTCTCTGCACCACTCCTTTAGCTGTTGGAGCTGCAGCTGCTGAGACAGATCAGGCATTAGCTGGTAGTCCCCCCATCCTTCCTTCCTTCCTTCCTTCCTTCCTTCCTTCCACCATTAGTGCCAGGGATCAAGGGAAGAGTATACTTGCTAGGGTCCCTATTGCAAGAGTGGGAGAGGCCCACATGTGCACAAGAAAAGAAGAAGAGTCCTGCTTTTGCAACCAGATCGGAGAGTCTAAGGTAGAGAAACGCAGTCCAGGGAAGGATGGAAAGGGATTGCATTCTTGATGAGAAAAACAGAGTGGAAAGCATTGTGATTGAACTTAAAATTTATGGAGCTATTTGCTTGGACCAAGATGAAGATCATCTGCATTCTTGTATTTCCAATCACCATGGATGGGTGTGAAAGCTGGAGATTAAAGAAAGCTGACAGGGGGAAATAAATATTTGTTTGAGATACGGTGCTGGAGGAAAGCTTTGTGGGTACCCTGGACTGCCAGAAAGGTGAACAAGTGGGAACAAACCAAGCCTGAACTATCTTTGGAGACAAATAATGTTGAAATGGAGGGTTTCTTACTTTGGGCACATAATGAGAAGCCAAGGCTCTCTGGAAAAGACAGTAGTGCTGGGAAGGGTGGAAGGCAGTAGGAAAAGAGGAAGACCAAACAGGAGATGGACGGACTCCATAAAGAAAGCCTTAAAGGCTTGAGTTTACAAGAGCTGAGCAGGGCAGTTGAGGACAGGTCCTTTTGGAGATGGCCCATTCATAGGGTCGCCGTATGTCGGGAGGTGACTCGACAGCATGTAATAGCAACAACAATATACTGAGAGGTTTTTATGTAAGATGAGAAACCAATCAGGAACCAAGCCCTTGGTGGGCAGGCGATGGGAAGCAGGTGATGCCCATTTTGCAAACTATTATTTGTTCTGAGTTGTCACTTAGGCTGCCAACGTGCTTACTAGCCCCGGCCCCGTGCAGCCATCATGTTGCGTACTGTAATGGCAAGATAAAGCCTTGATCAGGAAAGGCCCTCCTGCTTCATTTGTACACAGCAGCCTGTGGTTGAAGGTGCGGGAAAGCTAATGCAGTAGATCACATCAGGTCACACGCTGAAAAAGCGTGCGGGTGTCCCTGCGGGTGAGTTTAAATGCTCTAGATCTGTACATGCACACAAGGCTGCGGGGCAGGCACCGCTCATCAGCAGGGATCCAGGACGATTGCAAACATTTTAGGTAACAACTCTCCTAACCAAGGACAGGGTGCATTTGGACCTCCAGCTATTTAACCTTGGAAGTCTCATCCAGCCCCACCCAGCATGACCCGTTGTAAGGGTTTGTGGGAATTTTGCTCCAAGGCATCTGGCGGGCCCAAGGCTCCCCCATCCTGCTCCAAACTCTTCTTGCCCCTTGTGGCCATTTCTGTATCCATTCATTTGGATGTATGATGCATCCAGAAGACAGCATTTTGTAAAAATAAATAAATAAATATATTTAGTAATTTTCATAATGGTGATCATTACTGAATTATGTAAATGTACATCAGAGACAAGAGAATCGCAACTATTAGAATGAGAGCACAAAAACAGCAACAGAAATACATACAGTTCAAGAGTTAGAAGGGGCTGCTGGATAGCTCAGTGGCTTAGGTCTCTGGCTGCAGAGCCAGAGGTTAGGAGTTCAATTCCCCGCTGGGCCTCCTTCCTTGGTGTTCCATAAGGTCCCTCCCAGCTCTGCAGTTCTGAGATTAGTATCGCTGCTGGTGGTGTTATCATGGTTATAAAAAGAGCCGGGGTGATGCTCAGGGACAGCACTTCAGTAGATGGACTAGCCATTAAGGCCATGCATTTTACCTTCCAGGAAAGGCTCGCAAAGTGTCATGGCTCCCAGTGTGGTTTCTGCACTCCTGGGATGGTGATGTCTATGTACTCCTTGTTAAGGAATCAGCCAGAACCCAGCATGGAGCAGATAGCAGCATCTCTGGATGGTAGGCTGGCTCACTCCAAAATGTTGTTTTTCTCTTTTACAGAGGGTTGGTAAATTGGATAAACAAATAAACTGTGTTTCTGGTATCCTAGGAGATGATAGTTTCTTTAAAAGAAAAGAAATTGGTTTTTTTTTTAAAAGGCTTATATAAGCTTTGTGTTGATTTCCTACCACTCAGTACTAAGCTTCACAAACTGAGAAGAAACAAATACCAATCTGGATCAGCCCTATGTAATATAGACAGGGTGGGGGCCCAGGGTGGTGTAGTGGAGAATGTAATGGATTGGGACTTGGGAAGCCATGGAAGCTCACTTGGGGGACTGGGACTGATAAAGCCACTCCTTAAATACCTCACTTACCTTGAAAGCCATGTTAGGGTCACTATAAGTTGGTTCTGATTTGATGGCACACAACTAACATAGACACATCTGAATGATTCAGAAAACAGTCTGGAGATGATCTAACAAATCACCCCAATATTTAGAGTTTATGTCGGCTTCAGAGCCCACAGCAATTCCTGGTTCAGGGGATCTGGAGAGCTCTTATTTACCATATTTTTCTGTGTATAAGACAATATTTTTGTCTAAAACCTTTAGACTAAAAATTGAAGGTTGTCTTATACACGGAAGTAAGCTGAAGAGAGAACAAAATGGCCCATGCCTTGCCTCTGCAAACAGGCTTCCTTCAATCATGAGGCTTAGCTTCCTAGAGTCAGGATCCGCAGGGCTTAGCAAGAAGGGGAAAAGCAGGAATCAAAGCGATTGGAATACAGTGGTGCCTCGCTTAACGAGGGTAATCTGTTCCAGCGAAATCTCTGTAGAGTGAAATCCTCGTTAAGCAAAATAAAAAATCCCGTTGAAACACATTGAAAAACCATTCAATGCGTTCCAATGGGCTGAAAACTCACCATCCAGTGAAGATCCTCCATAGGTGCCTGTAAAGTGAGGAATCTGTCCAAAAACACAGCGGGGATCCATTTTACACAGCGGGTGGCCATTTTGAAGCCGCCGATCAGTTGTTTTAAAAACATCGTCTAGTGAAAAATTGGTTCCCAAAGCAGGGAACCGATGTCGGGAAGAGAATTTTGCCTATTAAACATAGTTTTGCGATCACAAAAGCGATTGCAAAACAGTATAGTGGTTTCGTCGTTTAACAAGGCAATCGTTAAGCGAGGCACCACTGTACATCTCCTTGGAGGTGGAGCCTGTAGGCAGTGCTCAGATTCAGCAGGGACTTGTAATGTCTGAGCATTCTGAGCCCAGAGGCTGAATACTCAAAGCTAAAAGATTTCTTAATTTGGGGTTAGAAAAGTGTGGGGGGTGTTCCTTATACACACGGGGTGTCTTACACATGGAAAAATATGATAAATATTTTTATCTCTCAACTCTATCATTCCTTCCAGGGAATTTGTGTCGTTGCACGGGATACAGAGCTATAATTGACAGCTTCAGTGCTTTTTCTACGGTAAGAGAAAACATCCTCAGAAGTGCCTGTTAATTCTGCAATTACAAAAGTGATGATTATTCTAATGAAAGAACTGGGTGAGTAGGTGAAAGCAAAGGTCTGTGGGCATTCCGTGCTTTCAAAAAAACACAACACACAACATTCAAATTGTTGTGCCTCAGAATACGTAATTCTAAGAAAGAGACGTTGCATTCAATTGAAAGCCTTGGACTCTTCATTCTCTATGTGTGATGGTTGAATCGCATCATGGATGGGACACATCCTGCCTCTCAGTTGCCAGCTGAATGCCTGCATGCTTGACATTAACATCTTCTGAATTTCTGAGTGCCAAGTCCAGGGCATCCAGGGTCTACTTCAGGGTTACACTTGGGGGTTGACATCCAAGCAAGACTTTTAACAGCATCGTCCTGTGCTTGTTTACTCGGAAGCCCTGTGTGCTTGCTAGGGCTTATTCCAGAGTAGGTCTGTTTAGGACTGCAGCCTTCAAACACCCCTACATTTCATGGAAGGTGTACCCAAAGTATTACTGAACGCATTCTTCTCTTAGGAATGCTGCCCATTGGCAGGGAGTGGGAAATGTTGCATGGACAAGAAAGGAGGGGAAGAAACACAAAGTGAGGAAGAAGATCCATCATCCTCCTCCAGAAAGGGAAACCGGGTAAGCTACATCATTACAGTGTCTGTGTTTCTCGTCAGTGACCAGGAGTAAACTGACAGAGGTGTGAATGCACATGAAACTAGGGATCTGGAGGCAATGTGCTCCGGTTGGGGTGTTTTAGGTAGGCTTTCTCCTATCTAAAGCCTATCTCAAACATGGCCAAGCTGCATTTTGCATTTTGGAACCTGCAATGTTTTATTGGTTTTCCTCGTTCACTTTTTTAATTTGATGTTTATTACTGAATTTTATTTCTGTCTATGGTGTTAATGCTGTAAGCCTCCCAGGATTAGCGGCCTGGCCAGTAGATCAGTGAGGAAAAAATGCAAATAAATAAAATAAATAACGAAATAAATAATGAAATAAATATGGATAAAGCCAATAAAACACGCATATTATAAAAGTGCACACAGAAGAATGCCCTTGCTGCAAATGGGAGCAGAACACGTTTTTACCTCAGGGGCACCGCAAGCCCTCAACCAATAGCCACGCTGGCTGGGAGATTCTGTGAGCTGTTGTCCAGAAATGTAATTTTTTCAAACTCTGCAATCACTACGTGCAAATTGAAGAAAAGGCACAAAACTGAATCAAATTTCAAAATTATAGATTTGAAAACATGAAAGATCTCAGCCCGCTGAACACATGTAACAACACACCAGATGGAATCGGGCACAAACCAGATGAGGAGGTGGGAAAATGGGGAGGGGGGGGAGTCCACGGCTGAGGGTTTAATAGTTCTTCAACTCTGAAATAAAACAAAATAGCTCAGCAGCAACTAATTAGTAACCATCCACATGAAAGTTTGCTTGTTTGGAGTTTTCTCCTGTACACTTACCTGTATTTGGAAACAAGCTTCCCTGCTGAAGAAAGAGGCACGAAACACAGGTGGGTGCCAACATGTGACAGACAGCCTTTGGAATAAGAAACCATGCCTTGGTTTTAGCCTGCTTTGGCTGCAGGAGAGCACAAACTGCATTTGACCACCACAGAAAGGCTACGTGGTGTTAACCGTTGATTAGTAAGCCTGTGGAGGATCTAGTGCCTGGCTCCGACAAAGCCTTTTCATTTGCCAAAAGCAGCGAAGGTCATGTGCAGGAAGATGGAGACGGGATGTGGGTGGGGGCATGGTCTGCCCTCCTCTTGAATGCAGACTTCGGCTGTTGAGAAGGTCGGAGCGTGTCAAGTCTTCTCAGCAGGCAAAGAGGAATACCAAATATGGGTTGGCTTAATAAAGGAAGCCTTGGCCTTGAATTTGCACAAGGTGAGGACAGAGCTGTTGAGGACAGGACACATAGGAGTTATCTAGTTTATAGAGTTGCTGTTATATCAGAAGCTGCTTGACAGCACATAATGGCCACATGCTCTGCAGCACTGAGGCATAAGAGGGTTAACACAGAACACAATCAGGCCCTTGGTATTATTGCTCCAAAGCGAAACCACATGCTTGGTGCTGTTAGTAGCCACTCAGCCATAACCACTTAGGGGGAAAATATGGAATACCTCCCAGGAAGCGTGTTTCTTGTGCTTTCTGCCTTCCTCTGCTGCTAGTAGTAATTTTCACGCATGCCACACAGCAAATTTGTCTGAGCAGAAAGCTGTTGCACCCATAGGAACAAGCCACTGCTTGTGAGGTGGCAGCACTCCCAAAATATCCTGGTGGCTTATAAGCTATTCAGTAGAGATGAAGAAATGAGAGTGACAGCTATGGTACCTGAGTCAGAAACCAGAACTCCCAGGGCTGATGGCAGGCCCTCCAGCTGTCGTTGCCCCCATTTGATGCCAACAGACATGCAAAGGGCTCGGGCCTGCTGCAGGCACATGTCTCTTCCTGCCCACTGTCAGCCTTTGTTTGATTCCTCTGTTCATTTCTTAGTTACATGTCTATTTAGTTGTTGTGAGGCAGAAGGTTCCCATCCTCCCCACATTCTGCTCATGACAGCAGTGTGAGAGAGAGGTCAGGATAGACTACAAGAAATTTTTGGGCTCCCCATTACCCAGTGAGCTCCGTGACTCAGCAAGGACTCAAAACGTGGGTCTCCCAAGAGTCAATCCAGTACTGTAACCATTATACCACATGGCCTCACCTCATTCTCAGAGTTCCATGAAAGAGATGGAGGCTTCTCACAGCAATGCTAAAAATATTTATTTATTTATTTATTTATTTATTTATTTATTTATTTATTTATTTATTTATTTATTTGGCTTTTACCTCGCCCATCTAGACTCAAATGAATCTACTCTAGGCGGCTTACAGTCCGAGCTATATAAAACAAGAATCAAAACATACAATATTCAAACAAAAAAGGGCTTACATTTAATTTTTATTTGACCACTACACTTCTCTAGGACTGTGAAGGCTGCTGAGAAGACTGAGATTTCCCAGTTTGTTCCTGATGTTGCTGTTTGTTTGCTTGCTTAATTTTTTTTTACTTATTTTAAATTCCATGTGTGGTTAGAATCCTGTTTGGATCTCAGGGGCTGCCTAGAGATTTTCTCCAAAGTTTGGAAAAGAACTTGAGGGAATACAGTCCAACATGGAACTGTAGACAACATGGCCAGAGACTTGGGGGGGGGAGCGGAATCCTGGGAGCCATTGTGCAGGAAGTAGTCTTTTCAATCCCCCCCAAAAAAGCCATGTTTCAGCACTTAAAAGCTGTGAAATGGTCTGAAATCCAAGCTGCAGTTCCCCCCACCCCCGGCACTTTGTTTTGTTAATGGCTGCCTTGATCATTGGGTCAGGGGATGTTTTTATACTTGGCTGAGGTGGCTGATGGCTCCGGGCAGTCCTAGTCTAAAGAAATCATTTTTCCAGTCTCTAATGAGCTGTGATGCACAGCAGATATACGAGCAGTAGGTGTGTCACAACAGTTGAATTCAACTCTTGATAATTTCTTTTAAAATTCATTTTGCCCTACAAAGTTGGTATACAACGAGGCATATTCTGCCATTTTTTCCTCTTTTTTAAAAAAGTAAGAGCCATAATCCATTCATTCATTATTTGACAAGTCTAAACTCTCAAGGGTGTTTTAACTGAACAGTGCTTGGGTTTCTTTCAGTGAACTAACGGATTCATTCCTCACAGTCACCCCATCACCCAAATACGATAACCTAGAGGCAGTTTTTCCCCTAAAAGTTGCTTCAGACAGATCAGGCAGATTGTCTTCTTTTTTCTTCCTTTGTATCAGAAGCACCACAATACACTTACCAGAACACAATATGAAATTAGGCAATAGCCTGTATATAAATGCATATTAAAATACAAACTGGTTTGCAAAAACTGAATTGTAAAGCTTAGATAAGTACATCCAATAATAACAAGCAACATCCAGGGCTTTTAGGGGGGCGGATACAAAATCTCCCCTGGTTCCTCTTGAAGGTCATAGAGTATGCTGACACAGCTGAGATATCATCTGTTCTGACTCACAAAGAACGGTGTTGGTGCAAAACTCACATTTTCTTTGGTTCATCTTGGTTCAACTCCAGTAGGTAACTTATTCGGTTAATTCCAAATAACCCAGTTCTCTGTGTGAGGGGAGGCTAGAGTTTCCTGGAGTCCCATTCATATTAAAAGGTGGTTAGTTCTTTATTTCCACATGACAGTCTTGGTATTCTCTACTCTTCCTTCAAGATTCGCAGGTGTTCTGAAAAAACTTTTCTTAAGTTTAATCTGGGAGGGGCAGAATGTTGACCATAGAGCGGATGTGCATTTGATGTAGATGCTTTCAGCCTCTCACTATTAGCTGAAGCCTCTTCCTATATGTCACAGAGTGCAATGCCTGGCAGATAACTGATTTTATCAATAGGGGTTGGAGTCAGGCATCTAATAACAATTCTTCAGCATCCACTGAATGCTCCGTCTACCTATTTTGTAAGGGTTGAACTATACCTCACTAAATGCCTGGTTCTACTGACAATAAGAATCACTGTTGAATCAGGTTTTGCTTTTAAAAACCAGTTTAAATGAAGGCGTCTCCATGATGTAAAGGGAAGCAGAGATTTGTTTGCCCAGAAATCATGGCTTTTTGGATCAGAAGCATGGCATTTGCGAGCAGAGAGTAGTTTATTCTAGCATCAATGACACCACCTCCATTTAAAAGAGTGAGTGAGTAAAAATTGATGAGCCACAAGGATGCGGAAGGCTTTTAAAAGACACAGATGACCTGCTTACAAGTTGCTCCTCACTTGTGGTGGGGAAAATAATCCCTTCCCCCTCCTTCAAAATACATTAGAAACTCTTGAGTCTTTAATGTAGGTTATGTGTTACTTTGATGTAAATGCAAGAATAATGCAATTGTCCTCCATGCTGTTTTGTCATATCCTGTATACTGAGTCTGGATATGTCTCCTTCTTGAGATTATCCCATTGTAATGTATGGGAAATGCATGAATCCTGAAAGGACACATTCCAACCCAGGGCCTGCCCGGACCTGCTCTTTTGCATATGGGATGGATCAGGCTACAAAGAGTCTGTTGAAGTGGGGGGCAGCGGCGAGGGAGGAGTGATGTGCCATTTGGCATGCTTCTCCCATCTGAACAGCAAATGACCCTTTGCCAATAAATGCCTTCTCTGATTGTCTGAGTACTGTTCCGTTTCCAAGCTAAACAATGAGCATGCAAAAGTAAATGAATGCCCTACAGCTAGTCTCCGGCAGGAATGCCATAATTCACACCTAGATGCTGTTAGACTCTTTTAAATCTTCACAGTTGGATATACTCATGTCAGCTAAATTGCCCTTGTGTAGTGTTGTTTCTATGACCCAAAGAGTAAAGCAAATGTCAATGAATTGCATTACCTTGTGTTCTGTGCCAAAAGTTGAACAGATTAGAATCACATCAACAGTCATATAGAAATTGCTACAGTATTTGCAACGTATTCATTGTGCTAATTCCAACACCTTTGGTTGGAAGGGCAGGCAACCTCTTTCCTGATTTCAACAAGTTTCCAGTCAAAGTGCCAATACAGAGAAGGTGGTCAGTGGTACTAACCATACAGTGTGGTCAGCGGGCAATTTCTAAAGGCTGGGGGCTATTTGTTGCTCTTTCACAGACCATGACGACAGCACCCCAAGCCACGTATCCTGAATATCAGGTCCAAAACCACCCATCTGAAGGTGGGAAGACATATACTGTAAAAGGATTGCAATATAAAAGGATTACAAAATCAGGCCAGAAAAGGGCTTTTTTTAAAAGAGGAAAAGGAAAGAACGGGAAGTGACCATGAAAACAGAAAAGAATATAAGTTGGGAGGATTCATTTGCCATATTTAGGGGGTGATTTTAGAAGTTTAGGGGGGCATGGGGGCCACATGGGGTACAGTAATTGGGCTCTGATATTGGAAAACCAGCTGCAAAGTTCATTCACGAACTGGGTGTTAACAGCCCTTGCAACTACTGGTTCAAGAAACGGCTTGACACCGATGACCCACCAAATGGTGATAATAACCAAGATATCAGCAAGGAGAGTTGCCTTACACCAGTGGTCAGGGAACAGCGGTAAATGACCCCAAATGGGGTAAAAATGAAAATCCTGGGGGTAATGAGGATGCGACCCTAACCCCTTCCCTCCTCCCCTCCTGTTCCTCCTTTTTGCCCAAAGGAGGGTCCCCAGCTGCCCGATCACATCCTTCCTGCCCCCTTCTCTGGCCCGGCTGCAACCGAGCCACGGTGGATGGCAGCCAGTGACGGGCCCCGGTCGGCGGTGTATGGCAGCCAAGGTGGCAGCAGTAGGGCCAGCCATGGTGGAGGGCAAGGCTGGGGCACCCCGGCCAGGAGGAGCCTCTCCTTCTAGTGCCTGCAGAGGTGGATCATGGCGGAGGGGGGGTGGCCTGGCTCAGCCTCCTGGCTCTGGGACGCCGTCCCATACCCGTCTGAGGCCATCAGGTGGCAACAGCACTCGCCCAGCCGTACGACTTCCTTCGGCAGCGCCTCCATGCTGACTGGCCGGCCCTGGCAGAGCCTCTCACCCTCCATGTGGCAGCTGTCACGGCGCTTCGACAGCAAGGCCTGCCAGTGCCCTGACACTGAGGTCCGACGTGGCCGTCCTGGCGAGCAGCCGCTGGTCCTGGGGCCAAGGACTGAGCACGGCCCCACCAGGCGGTGGAGGAGGAGGAGGTGGCAGTGGTGCTCGACTGGCTGCCCATGACCAAGATGCGCGTGACCAAGATCCTTTCAATTCATGCGGGTCATCTCAGCATATATAAATTTTTTAGGGGGTAAAAGGTAAAAAAGTTCCCTGACCCGTGGTTTAGATGGTTCGGTAAGTATGTGATGAGAGGGGTGAATGACGAGCATGGAATGTTGGTAAGCATGGTTCTTATTGGCTGGGAGGAAAGAGAGACGGCGCAGTGTGTTTGTGGAATAGTCCAGTGCAGTGAAAGAGGAAGGGGGTGACCGTTATTAGAGAAAGCTCATTTATTCCTGTGGCAATTTAAAAACACCATTGCCTCAATAGTCAAGTGACAAGACAAGTAACATTCAGTTTCAGAGAGAAGGATGTGATAGTTATCTTTCAAAATTTTTATCTTCCTTAGTCCTTAAAAAGGTACCTATCACTCCATTCTTTGGCGCATGGTTCAAATACTCCTTCCCATATTAATTGGTATACTTTTTTCCCCTTTAGATGTGTTCCGGTCTATGCAAGCCAGAGGAATTCCATCCCAGGGACCCAACCCAAGATTATATATTTCCTCCTGAATTAATGGCAAGTGATCAATTTTTGGTTCATGTTTATTGTGAAGGATCATCTGGCTGTATTTTACAACACACAAAATCAGCTATTTGGAGGGAACACCTCACTCTGCTGAATAGAATGGCTGATCCTGTCCCCCCCACACACAGAGAGACACATACTGTACTGTACATGGCTTTTTCTTACGAAACACCCAGAGAGTGTTAAACAACTTGTATTATTTAAGTATAAATAGGATTATAGCCTGAATTTCCTGAAAGGCTGTGTTGTGTGGCATCAGCATCATCTGTTGTATCTCCACCCAGCGAATGGCTGAAGAGATCAAAGGAAGACACCTGGTTTTCAATGGTCAGAGGACCACATGGTTCGCTCCTGCATCTCTGCCAGAGCTTCTTCAGCTAAAAGCCACCTACCCAGAGGCACCTCTTGTAGTTGGGAACACAAATGTTGGTAAGTTACAGGATTGCTGTGTAATCGCCTCTGAATATACGCAGCCTGATGTAGCTACTCTAATGAAAGCCATTGAATGCTTACAGTGAAAAGATGCTGCCTCTGGGCACCAAAGCCTCACTGTCAGCATGTGTCTAGCAGGTGAGGTGGCTAAGTGAGGTGGCTGCTTCAGGCAGTGGTTTCAGGGAGGCAAGGAGCTACGTTGCTGCTTGAGAATTGAGTGGGATATGCTTTGTAGCTCGCTCTGTGCCTCATAACCTGCTTGCTGCTCGCAAATGCAATAAAGGATGTACAGTAGTCCCATTGGCAGTGTTGAACAGAATGCATTGACCAATCCACTTGGTTCTGGTACATGGGATGGGAAGTGGGCACCACCTGAACTTCAGGTAGCAAAATATTGAGGGTCATCCCTGTGATGCATGGAAGTACATCACTACCAATAGTCCTAGGTGACTGGTTCTGCTTTAGGAACACAACACCACTAGGAACAAAAGCCTGACACAGAACCTATTAATGCATTGAGCTTTCCACTTATTGTTCAAAACACCTCTGGCTAGCTTTGGTGGCATGACTTGGCCAGGGAGTAACTACTCATGTAGCAGAATGAGATAGCAAGGCCCTTAATTGCCAGAATAGATTGTGACACTAGAAATATCAAGGGTGGAATGTCATTTCTGAATGCTTTCTATGTAAAATAGTCACACATACCCATTACATGTACAAATGCATGTAACAGGTATGCTCTCACTACTGTTCCAAAAATCTATGCCATCTCTTTGACAGTGCCAAGAGATGTGGTGGTGACAACCTTGTGTTTTCAAGTGTGGGTGGCACCAGTTAGCTGGGTCAAGGGATTGCAAGAGGCAAAGATAGGTATGGGATGGGTGGGTTACAGGATTAATAGCAGAATGATTCCATCTCTCTCTCTCTCCCTCTCTCCCTCTCTCTCTCTCCCCCGACCTCCCTCCCTCCCCCCCCCTCTCAATCTCTCAATCTCTTGCACACACACCACTGCATTTTGGCTCCTGAAATCACCCCAAACTCCATATTAGAGCTGATACAAGCAATTCACATTTCAAGATGCCATTTCTGTTGCCCTGCAGCTAGTCCTCCCTTGTTTTTCCTGACACCTTGTTCTGTTTTTCTACCTCTTAGGACTGGATATGAAAGTCCTGGGCGTGTATCATCCCATTCTCCTTCATCCAGTCAGGATTCCAGAGCTGCATGGCTCCAGCATTGAAGGCAATGGTATGTCTCTTAGATACCCAAGAAGCCTCGGGAAAGCTGTCTGCTTAAGCCACTTAATGATACTGTGAAATGGAAAGCTTAAGCCATCTGCTTTGCTTCAGTCCCAGTGATGGCATGTCCCGGGACTGAACCAAAACAGAGTGATCCTACCCTTATCTAAAAAGCAGCAGCCCCTGATGGGGAGCCAAAATGCTGCAGGTAGGAATGCATCGGGGATGGGTTGGTTCACGATGGCCCTTAGTGCCTTGTGGTGGCTGTGAAAAGAGGTAAACCAGCCTGTGCCCAGAGTGAGTGGCCTAAATGGTGGGACAAAACCAAATCCCCATCTGGTTGCATCTTTCTGAATCTTCGTGGTGGAAGTGCCAGAATTAAGGAAAGGGCCAATGAAGGGGCTGGAGAGAACTGCCCATGATCGGGCAAAGACACAGAGGGAGATGGAGGGGAGCACGGGAGTTAAGGGAAGAAGGCGTAATGGTCTCTTTTGAAAATCATTTGGTTCTAGGCATTGTGATAGGTGCAGCAACCTCCTTGGCTCAGCTGAGAGACAGCCTATTGGGAATCATCCCAGAACTCCCAGTGGAAAAGACGAAGGTCTACCATGCTCTGTTGAAGCATCTGAGAACTCTTGCTGGAGAACAGATCAGGAATCTGGCTGTAGGTTGTCCACACTGTTACCTTCTCCAAGATATGACTTACTCCATGCAGTTGGCTCCACAGGTCTTTCCTCCATTCCAGATTCTGTCTTTACCTTTGAAGAAAACCGTTTGTTGAGGCGACACATTTTCTACTGCCTTGACAGTACCAAGTATTGACTCTTGGCTACCTTTCAAGGGGGTTTACTACAAGGTGGCATTGCGGGGAGGAAAAGGAAAGAGGAAAAGAGATTAGACTATGTCAGGAGAGGAGAGCCTTTGGCCCCTCAGGTGTTTGGGGCAACAGTCCATAATCCTCCACCATTGTCCATGCTGGGTGAAACTGATGGCTTCTATAGGCCAAAACATTGGGGGGGGGGCAGAGGTTCTCCATTCCTTGTCACTGAGCACCTTTTTCTCACTCCCTACCTTTTTTCTTGCTTTGATCTCCTAACTATGAAGAACTTCCTCTACCTGTGGAAGACAAGTGAGTGACCACATGGTATCCACAAAATGAGGCCTTGATAGTGTGAGGCTATCAAGAGAAACTCTGAGATGCCTCATTATTGCCAAATTACGCAGCCCCTATGAACATTTAAAGTTGCATTGATGTTTTCCACATATTTCTCCCTCATGAGGATAAAAGAAGTTAAGGGGTGTGTGATTTTCAGGATGCAAAACTCCTAGCCATGATTGTCATTTTAGGCAATAAGAGAGAAGAAAAGAAACATGTGGCTAAGAAAATTCACACAACGTTTCATAGATCCTGCTTTGCACTCACCCCACAACCAAAAATTAAGACCTACCTTTTTGAAGTAGAGTCACAGCAAAGCAGGAGGGGGGGGGGAAGGCCGGAAAGGCCGGAAGAAGTCATAAAATTTTTGAGAGCAGAGAGGAGAGAAAGAAAACATGTCCTGTATGGGGGGGTTTGAGAAATCTGAATTGGAGAGTTGCTGATACGTACATTTTGATAAATGCCTGCCAGATGAAGCTGTAGGTGTCATCATTTTAAAACATGAAAACTTCAATTATTGACCAAACAACCTGTTTAATTTATTTGATAAGATTCATGATAGTTCTAAGACCTAGAGAAATATCATTGATCTTCAACTT